CTTTAGCTTTATTTCTGTCTTATTGGTTAAAGTGTTTAAAGTGTTTAAAATTGATAAAAGAATTACTCTAACGTTGGCTTGCCTAACAAGTGAAATGTTAGGCGTCATCACTGTCCCGAAGATGGGAATTCCGGGTCGTGACACAACCCTTTTTGCATATAGGCTTGACGTTAGTATGAATTTATAAGACGAAAGCAAATTTCAAATAAGTAAAGAAAAATGACTTCCGATCCAATAAATACAGAATTAGATGCGGAAAAGATGCAAAAACCGGCTATTTCAAAAAATGCGAGGAATAATTAGAAAAAGGAACAAATTCATTACCAAAAAAATTATAAGTAAAATTAGCCCATTATGGCAGAAACTACTCGAGTTTAAACAACTTTTAATTTAGCCTGTAATACTTTACATGTACTAAAATAAGGTTGCCCTCAAGCTGAATTTGTCTCACTAGACCACTTTTTCTGCTTCTGTTGCTAGTATTAAAAATCCTACTACTATTCCCATGATTATTCTTGTTGTTATTATTACTTGCTTCGCAGACAACTTTGAACTCAATACTATATGCATTTCCAATGCAAGAAAATAACCCTCCGTCAGAGTTCCGCCGTGAATGTCCCACCGCCTGTGCCGCCGTCTCCTTTCTCCGTTTCTCTATACTTGATGTTAACCCTTTGGCATATGCTTCCTCTGTTGTTATATCCTCTAATATTGAGCTTTCCCTATCTTACAGTCAGGGACGGATTTAGGGGGCGGAAGGGGTTCACCCGAACCCCCTTCGTCGAAAAATTATACTGTATATATAAGGCAAAATCTATTTTTTACCTCTATATATTAAGTTTTGAACCCCCTTGACACAACCCAAAAGTGTAGCTTAGTGGTCAAGGAGGTTCAAAATCTTTGAAAGGTCATAGGTTCAATTCTCACTAATTATGATCTTTTTTTCTTGAACCCCTTCACGAAGATCCTGACTCCACCACTGCTTACAACTCCTTTGGCGGTTTGATCTACGCTTCTTGTGGTGGTTCTGGCCATGCTGGTTGCGGTGGTGGTTGGTACATGTTGAGGATATAATAGAAGTAAAAATATTAATTCTCTAATAATTTAAGTTTTTAAATAAAATTACTATGTAACTAAACATGGTATATAAGGTGACAAAGGTCCTGAGTTCAAGTCTCATTAACATAATTATTTGTCAACCTATGACCTTTTTTGAGGTCACTATTTAAAGTTTGTCCCTCGTTAGCCTAGTGGCTAAATATCATCTTCAAAAACCGTAGGACTAGTTTTTCATTCTATAAAGACACATTTAATCCACTTGACTAATTGTTATAAATCTGGGTTGCTGTAATAAATAATTAAATCATTAAATTTTTTAAAATATATAAACAAAACAGAAAGTTAGTAATACTTGTTTAACGAAATAAATTCTGGAAAAACAGTATTGGAATAAATCGAGCTCACTGAATACACAGTGTGTCCTTAAGGAAATTATTCCCCTCAAGTACCCGAGGTGCTGAAATATATCCTCCCAGGATAGAACGATTTAACTCACCGGAGTGCTGGTACCAAAAACACCGGTGAACAGCGAGCCACTCGAAGGCTGTAAAACACACTGGAATTTTTGTGCAGAAGAAGAAGAAGATCCGAAAATTTCGTAAGGAAAGATTCTGGGATTCAAAGTATATTTATATAGTTGTTGACATTGTTTCTGAAAAGGTTTGCAACCTTTCAGAAACAGCCATGACTGTTGGAACAGGTTGTTTGAAATATTGCGGGAAAACAGATTTAAAATAATCCGGGAAAGAAAACAGGCCTGACCGGACCGGGTCGTGGGTCATGGGTTATTCCGGATTGAATTTTTCGTTAATTATTTAATTAAATAATTGAAAGAAATTTTGTCCAAAAAGATTAATCAATCAATCTTTGACCAAATCTAAATAAGCCGAAGCCGAGCCATGACGACGGCGGCGCGAGGCTTGCCTTCTTCTTAACTCTTTAAGAGCTAGAAGAAGAGCAATTATATATATACCCATTAAAAGCCTTTTCTTCCTCCAATATGGGATAATGTCCCTTTGCCAAGGAGGGAAACTCAAATATTTCATTTTTTCCCCCTCTATTACTCATTCACCCTCTTTAAGCTACACAAACTTAAAATCCCAACACTAATATAAGATAAAATTTAAATAGTAGTTCAGAAAAAAGCTCATTTGTGCACATGACCTTCATCGCCCCCAATTATCAAATTTATATGTGCTTGACCCAAACATAAAATGTCGAAAATATAATAAATTAATAAAAATTATGCTCTGTAATAATCAAGATGTTTGTAGATGAAATTGTCATAACAATTCAAAAATAATACTCGTACCTTTTAGTAGCTATCTCAGCAGCAACAATGGAAGTTGATGAACCATTTGAGATTTGTTATTCTTCTTCTTAATTGCAAAATAAGTTTGTTAGGTTTGTTATTGTTTAGATAATTTGATATGTAGCGTTTGTTCAATGTGATAATTGAAAGTTATATTTAAAATTTGAGCTCATTTTGATTAAATTTGGATATTGAATCATGTATTAGAATGTTAAAATTAGAATAACAAGTTTATATTTCATAACTTAAGGTTCGATTTCTGAAATTACATTGAACAAAGAGTACTACTTAAGGTTCGAATTTTATGAAGTTGCATTTCAAAGATAGAAGAACTTAAAATTTGATGTCTGAAGTTGAATTGAAAAGATAGAACTGCTTAAGATTCGAATTTTCTGAAGTTGCATTTTGAAGATAGAAGAACTTACAACTTGATTTCTGAAATTGCGTTGAAGAGATATAACTATTTAAGACTCAAATTTTCTGAAGTTGCACTTGAAAGATTAAAAAACTAACAACTTGATTTATGAAGTTATATTAAACATATAGAACTACTTTAGGTCCTAATGGGTAAATTTGGCAAATTTAGGTCTTAGACTCCTAGTGGGTGCTTTAGGTTCATTATATAATAAAGTTACATTACGAATATAACTTGGAATTTTTACATTGCTATACACTATTTGAAACTTTATTACCCTCATTACTCAAGTTTCAATTTAATTACATACTATATATAATTTACCAATTATATACACTTTAGGAATTAAATGAGTATCCATTTATATTAGGAATCAATTATTTTTCATCCTTATTCTCTCTCCCTCCTGCGATCTCTCTCTCCGTCTCTCTCTAATTCCAGTAATGTAGATCAAAGGGAAAGAGAGCAGCAATTCCACGCTTATTGAAATTCCAGTAATGTAGAGCTAAAAGTGTTGCACAATTGGTGTTCAGATTCCAGTGATGTTGTGCAATTGGTGTTCAAATTGAAATCGTCAATCAATAAATTTTGAAGGTGTTTGACTCTCCACCATTGACAGCCATGAAAATTTTTTAAAGCTTTGAATTCGAATTTGGGTTTTTAAAAACCATTATTTGTTTGGATTGGGTGTTGTTGCAAACAATTGAGAATATTGTTTGGAGTTTATATTTCAATTTTGAGGGTGTTTTGGTGAAGATTAGACTTGATTTTGGTTGAATTTCAGATTGAAACTCGAAGAAGAAGAAGAAGAAGAAGAAAAAGAAGACATGGCATACATTATACTTACGAATTTGTAGTAAAGTTGTAGTTAAATTATAGGTAAATTGTATTATGTTGTTTATATATATATATATATATATATATATATATATATATATATTTAAAATTTGTATAAAAATTATATTTAAGTTGTATGATATTGCAGTTGTATATAAATGGGTAGAAATAATGTATGAAAGTTGTAGATAAGTTGTATAATATATAATTAGTTGTATGAAATTTGTTTTTACTATGTATAAATCAGATACAAAATATACAAAAGACATGTTGTATAAAATTTGTATAAAAATTGTATTTAAGTTGTATGATATTGTAGTTGTATTTAACTTGGTAGAAATAATGTATGAAAGTTGTATAATATATAATTAGTTGTATGAAGTTTGTTTTTACTATGTATAAATCAGATACAAAAATATACAAAAGACATATTGTATAAAATTTGTATAAAAATTATATTTAAGTTGTATGATATTGTAGTTGTATTTAACTATGTAGAAATAATGTATGAAAGTTGTAGATAAGTTGTAGATTGGTTGTGCTTTTACATTGTGCTTTTAAGCTATTTGCCTAAACGTGTTAAAATTATTTAAAATATTACTTAATTTTATGAAATACCTTTCAACTTAATTGAGATCGACTTCTCCGATCCTAGCTAGTGTAAACCTCTTCGTCCTCCTTAATCGTCCTTAGTCGAGTGCTCTAATAATTAAATTAATTGCTTTAAGCTCACACATACAAAGAATCATTACATCCCTTTGTCCTGCTACCTCACCTTATATGAACAAGCTCTCTAAGGCTTTATGATATCGTACTCCCTATTTTGATATGTTTTATTTTCTAAGAACATGTGATAATTTAATTTGCTTGATCGTCAAACTCCCCAAAAACAAAAGAGATTATTAGATGATGGAGGGAGGAGGAAAAAAAGCTTCAATTATTCAATTGTTTTTGTTACTTCGTTAATAAGATCACCTGAATTGCAGTAATCCGTGTGTGTATGCATTTTATTGATTACCGTATATTAAGGCGGAAGAAAAATAAGGAAAGAGAAGAAGAGAAAAAAAAGGAAAAGGGTGTAACTAAATCCCTTAATTGAAGGCACTAATAATGGATTGAGAGTATTTTAAGGTGGAATGCATATATTTTATAGATAAAAATTATTTAGATCGGGTAATTAACTAAACGTGAACATTTTTAGTAATAAAATTTCAAATAGTGTATAGGAAAGAAAAAATCCCATATAACTTGAATGGCGGCCCAAAAGCCCTCCCCGATTACCCAATTGGGCTGTGCCAATCGGGTATCATCCAGTTTAGCCCAAATCTTAATTACCCGAGTCCATTGAGCAATTGAGCACAAAACTCGGAAGGATGCAAGAAACGTAGAGAATGAGGAACAAACAGAGCAGCCACCATGCTCTCTCATTCATGGATAAAACCTCTCTGTAGCAGAGGTAATTTATTGTTTGCTTTATCACTTGGCCGCCGTGCAACTATGTTTCATTCTTGTTCTGCTTTACATTCTTCATTTCAAGAAAAGCCGTCGATTTCTAGAAAGCGTAAAGTTGCTGTTTTTAGGGAGTTGAGACATGTAAATAATTTAAACGATGCTGTTTGCGTTTTTCATCAAATGGTTCGAACACAACCTCTTCCTTCGGTTATAGAGTTTGCAAAATTGTTTAGGGTGATGATTAATATGAAACATTACTCTGCCGTTGTTTCATATTTTAGAGAGATGAGGAAACTGGGGATATCCTTTGATGATTATATCTTGACTATTGTGATTAATTGTTTTTGCTTGTTGGATCGTGCTGAACATGGGTTTTCGGTTTTGGGTATTTTCTTCAAGAGTGGTGTTCAGTTTAACGTGGTTACTTTCAGCACTCTTACGAGGGGGCTTTTTGAACAAAATAAGATTCAAGATGCCATGTGGTTGTTTCAAAAGCTAGTCACTGAGAAAATTTGTGAGCTTGATGAAGTTATGTACGGCACCATCATGAATGGTCTTTGTAAACAAGGACATACTCAAACAGCTCTTAGTTTGCTGAGGATAATGGAACAAGGGGATCCCAAACCTAACACTGTTGTGTATAGCATTGTCGTAGATGCGCTTTGCAAAGACAAGATGGTAGGTGCTGCTTTCAACCTTTTCAATGAAATGAAACGGAAAGGCATTACTCCCAACTTACTTACATATAGTTCACTGGTTGATGGTTTGTGTAAGTTGGATCAGTGGGAAAAGGTTAGGCTTCTTTTGGATGAGATGATGTTTCTTCATATTTTCCCAAACGTGCACACATTCAGCATGTTGGTAGATGCATTCTGCAAGAAAGGGATGGTTGAAGATGCTGTACAAGTGTTACAGCTAATGATCCAAAGAGGTCAAAAGCCAGATGCAATTACCTACAATGCGATAATGGAAGGGTATTGTTTGCGCGCTGAAATAGATGTAGCAAGGAGAGTTTTTGACGCTATGATTGATTCTGACATCAAGCCTGACATCTTTAGTTACAACATATTAGTCAATGGATATTGCAAGCAAAAGAAATTAGACGAGGCTATGCATTTATATTGTGAAATCTCGCAAAAGGGGTTAAAATCTGATATTGTTACATATTGTACTATCTTGCAAGGCCTATTTGAAATTGGTAGAGTTAAGTGTGCAGAAAGTTTCTTTTCTGAGATGCAAAACGCAGGCCATAGTCCCGACATTTACACTTGTGGTATAATGCTTCATGGTTATTTAAAGAATGGACATGTTGAAGAAGCGATGTCCCTCTTTCATAGGTGGGATAAACAAAAAGAAGATACTAATATTTTGATCTATAATACAGGCAACAATGGATTTTTTAAAATTCAGAAGCTTGATAAAGCTCGTTCAATTTTTGATAAGCTTTATTCCATAGGGTTGCACCCTGATGCTATAACATACAATGTAACAGTAAATGGACTTTGTATTGAAGGTTTAGTAGATGAAGCCAAAGAGTTGCTAAGAAAAATGGAGGACAATGGTTCTTTCCCCGAGAATGCCACTTCCAATCTTATTGTGCATGGACTTCTCAAGAGTAATACAGCTAACGAAGCGATTGCTCTTTTGAAGGAAATTGTTGGAAGGGGTTTCCCAGCTGGTAAAGCCACAATGTCATTGCTAATAGAACTACTTTTGTTAATAGGGGAAGGTCCTTTTTTGGTTAATATGATACCAGAGTTTCATCCCAGAAATGAGAAATGAACTTCTTTCTTCCTCTCGTTATTGAACTATTGGAAAGCTTGGCTGCAATTGGGAAAACCAAATGATGATAGTACTCGAAGATTACTTAGCTGTCAAAGATGGAGGTACGTGACTTCTTAAAATTCATACATTGGAGGTCTCTCTTTATCTGTAAAGAACATCTTTCTGCATGAATGTTTTTTAACATAAGAACAGATGTAAGTCCTGTCTCACTTTTTCAGTAACTATATTCAGCACCGTTTTAGGATACATCTGGTCACTCATATTCAATAGTATGTAGGTATTCCTTATCAAAAAAAATAGTATGTAGGTATTTTATACATATTCATTTCATTGTGATGTCGACTTTATTCAGATTTCATGATTTAACTGAATATTTGTTGTTAAATTGGTTGTGGCTGAATGCTTACTTGATGGTCTTTTCCTTCGAGAAAAGGTGACATAGATATATGCCAGGGGTTCTTTGATTTTGAAGATATGTCACCTTTAAAAACTTTGATACCCCCACCACTTTTGGAATTAAAATGCTCTCTTTTGAAGTGATATAGTAGTTTGACTAAAGATCATTTGTAAGTGTCTGACTTCTTGTCAGGCTGGTCACCGGTGATCTTTCCACATATAGAAAGCACTCACCATTACAGGATTTGAAACTGTAGTTGGTGCCACAGAGTGGCTTTCTTTTTATCTTTTCCTAACCGTTCAAATCACATTTTCTGGGTCTAGTTCTTTTGACATACTTAGCGTCATATTTGAAGCACAAGATAGCATAAGGAGCATGATTTAACACATGGAAATAATGTCCGAAACTAATAGGCAGACCAATCATTTTTTTATGACGGCGATGTTTGGGCCAGCTTGTGCACTCCTTGATTAATTCCAGCAGGTACCTCCCACCAGCATAGGTACCAGGTAACTCCGCCCGCCAATGCTTGGGCAGATGGAAAGAAGTCATCTAGTGTTTGTTGCCTCCACTGGAATTTGAACCCGAGACCTCATGACTCTCCTCCCACTTCATTGACCATTAGGCCACACTCTTTGTTGCTAGACCAATCATTTAGTTAAACAAGGGATATGGAACTATCACCTTTATCACCATTGATCCTAGGTTATAAGGGGACACAAGGCATCAAAAGTTCTCTTATGAATGAGTCTTTCTATTCTGGCCACTGTGGACATATTTTCTTAATGTATTAGAGCGGGCCTCTCTAACAGATGAAAAATGGCTCAAAAAAGCACGTCAAGTTTTTCATAGCTGTATGCAACATATGTCATCTTTATGGCAAGAGCTTGTCAAAAAAGCAATCGTATGAAACATCATTGAGTGTAGTAGTTCTAGAATACTTTTTTTTGGAACTTGCATCTGTTCTTCATACATAATACCAGAGTTTATCCAGGGAATGTATTAATTCACAAACTCACCTCCAGCCTCCATAGACCAGGACGTGTGTTCTCCGAGCTTTTCTAATGATGACATTTTATGAGTGGACAAGGAACCATAACAAGAAAATTCAGTGATAAAATTGTTGCCTTTCACACTTCTCGATAACACTAGCTACAAGAACCAAAGATTCACACTTTTCTTTTCTACGAGGGACTCAACCAGTGGAAATGGTTACACAAGTTTAATAACATGTTATGTGAGTATAGTATTTCTCATAGAATTATACTATTATATGCATAAATCGTTTATTAAACATTTAAAAATAATGGGAAGAGACATATGCCTATTTTTACTAGGTAAAGTTGAATGCCTTCGAATTACCCAACAAATAAAATATACCTGCACACGTACTGCAGGCCCTAAACAGATATCCCTCTGTACCAAAAACTGAGATTCCAATTCATTTTCAATGCCTCCTCTAGCAAAGGAACATGCTCTGAAAAAGCAGCCATAGGTACGACAGATGAGGGAAATTATGGCGCTTAGTCTGCATATGCGGGTTGCAACTTTAAAGTAATATCATGTTGATAATTGTGAATCAGTTGAGGTTTTGGAAGAAGTTATGTTCGGTTATTGGGGTGAATCAATCTTTCCTAGCTTGAAGGAGGTACTATAAAGGAGCCAAAGAATTTAGTGCTTGTATGTCATGGAAAATATTGAATGAATTTAGTGATTTTTTCAAATGACAAATTTACGACCACTTACTGTTCTTGTTGTCTTCATCAACAAAATGAAATAGCTCTTCATTAAGGTTTATTCTGCTATACAGCATCTTAAGTATCCTTTGGAATTTGTGAATCAAACTGTATGCCCGTAATTCATTGCCTTGTACACATTCCTCTTAAAATTGCATTTTTCCTGTTTATCTTTGCAAGCTAATTTAGGTTTTTTATTGAGCTCTTTTTGTTTTGTTGTGTGGAAAAATACAATACTTAACTGCTCGGTACCTGTCAATCAAATAAAAGTTTTTTTGCCTTATCAAAAAAAGAAAAAGAAAAATACAATAGTTAACTTGTTGTCCCTAAAATGGCAGTGACTATAGCAGGTCAATGGACACGGAGACAGACAGAAATGTTTCATTTCCTTTACTCACGAGACTGTCTATTTATTCATTCTATAAGTGGTAGATAGTATAAGTTCTTATATCTTGTGAGTATTGAAAAGAGTCATGACATGCTTTATTAGGAGCTGGATTCCTCTTGGATAGTCATGCATTTCTTGCATTTTACTGTTGAGCATAATAAGCGTGTATAAGGAAGACATCTTTATAACTGACATCATAGCACAGCCAAATCTAGCCCATTTCTCCTCCAGGAAGATTCTTGAAGAAATTATGTTGTTGATGGATAGAATTGTCAAGGTCATAACACCTTCATTGACATTTTGAATCACATCCTAAAATTGTTAGTTCGTTACTTCAAAGACATGGTATTAACATCATGGATAAGATTATGGTTTAATCATTAAGGACATGATCTTTCCTCTTCGCTTAAGATTCTTGCTTTTCAGCTTTTATTTGTATTTGAGAATAGGCATGCAGGATTACTCCATGGAGAATTTGTGATTTCACCTTGTGTTTGTCACCCGTCCGAAGTAAACTTGTCTTCCTCCTTATGTCTGTCATCCATCAGAAGAAAAAACTCCATGAGCTGTTTCACCTTATTCCTGAAATATGTAAGGGAACTCTTTAATTATCTGTTCCTTCTATCCCTTTTCTTTCTTTCTTTCTTTTGATAATCGAGGAATCCCTGAAAACCTATGGCCCACAATTTGAAATTTGGTGTATAAGGGGTCCGTCTATTTATTCTTCTCCACTTAAATACCAGGCTTTATATGTGGCAGGGTCCGAATCAGTGACGTGCACATAACCCCACCTCATATGCTGTGCTCTGACCACTAGACCAAAGCCCTGAGGGCTTCCTTCCATCCTTTTCTATTTGGCAACAATAAGGGGGTATTGCAGTAAAAGTCGTATAAAAGAGATAAATAAACTTCCAAGTGAATAGAAATACCTTGAATAATGTGAATTACATGGATGTCTGTTCTCTTATTTCCTTGTTGAAATAAGTCTTGAGATTACCTCCTATCTGCTTTTATTTGGATTACAGAGATTCTCTCTTAACGAAAAGCATTTACTGGTCTCTAGTTTATAATGGATTAAACTTTTGTTATCTATATCTATACTATATTAAAAGTGGGAAGGCCTTAAGTTAAAAGTTAAATTACCAAAATATCCCTTTTAATTATTAATCTATTTAAATTAAGTACCCTAATTTAAAAAAAAAAGGCTTAGCAAACAGGCTCAAACGAAAAGACGCTTACTTATTGTTACGAAGAGATATGCTCCTTCACAAAGTTCCACATTCTGTAGTTATACCTCCAACGGAAATTTTCTCACTCAAACCACTTCACTTATTCACTTACTTTGTTCTTCTATTATCGCTTGTTACTATTTTATACTGTCAACGTTTGTTTTAATTTTGATTAGGAAACCTCTAAATATGTTTGCAGGGACTGGAATGTAGTTGAACATTGAGACGCCATGTTATGGGTTCAAGATGGAAGGCTTGAAGAGTGCACCATCATGTGAGATTTAATTTCAATTTCATCATTATGTTCACCAGCCCACCATAGAACCGGTTTCTCGGCATGCCTTCAGAGTAATATCTGTTGGTAAGACACTACCAAGAGATTCAGTAACATGAAAGGAAGTGAAAGAGATGAGTTCCATATCATGGCATAAATTCATCCTAACATTCATGAGAAGATATGTACCAACCAACGAGAGGTAAGTTTTTTATTTTTTAAAATTATGTTATACATCAAGCTGTTTAATACGATATGTGGTTTATCCTTTATTAAAAACTGTAATTTCGTAATATATGTAATTTGATGATGATAGTTAGATAGGGACAACCTTTCGTCAACGGACTTACTTGGCCCACTGACAGAAAGTAAACTTCAATTTGTTTTTGGCTTCTGATGTTAAGGACTCTATGATGGAATATAATACATCGTGAGGATGCAGAGACTGCGGAAGAAACGAATACTGAGATGTAATTAAGAAACGGGTAAGGCCTTGGTATTTTCAGTAATTAAGCTTTGCTGTCATTCTTTTGATTTCTTTGTTCTGTAATTCTTTGTGGTAGTGAGACCAGTGCGATTTGCTTGAGTTTCCCGAAAGATTTGACTGCTTAGTAGAGGAAGAAATAAATTATTTTTTTCTTTACATGAAAGCAGAAGGAAAGTAACAAATTTTATGTATGGTACTCTGTGCTAATTATGAAAAAAATAACACCCATAAATTTATGAAAAAGATAACACTAGACTTTAGAATCTCACTTGGATTTCAATTGGAATTGGAGATGACAACTGAGAAATACCATGGAGTTATATTGACATATTAGAGAAATTCTCAAGCATTCATATGGTACATTGAAGATGAAAGATAAAAATTTGAAGGGATAACAGGGGAAAAAACTCTAAGATGTCTTCTTCAGAGTTTATAATTTGAAAAAGAAAATTCCTGTGTTTGACCTCTTCATTTTTGCATTTGACATTGCCACTATTTGTGTCATTAGCCATATAGTATTTATTCCTTTTTCAAGCATCCAAGTGAATATTTTAAAATCACTGGTATGGATGTAAGATTGTTAGTTGGAACTTGGAACCTTAATTTCTGAAGTCAATGTGATACAATATTCAACCATATTTATATGGCATGACTTGTGTTCAGGCCTCTTCAGTTCATCCATTAAAGGTTGATAGTTTTTTAAGAGGAAGAGATTCATATGTCACACTTAGGGATCTCACAGCCAGAATTACTTCTATGAGGTTAGAGTTACTTCTTTTTCTTTTTCTATGGTCCAAGTGAGATTTAAAAGTTACGCAGCAAAATTAAGTCGCAGAGAAGACAAATACGTTGAATACGTCTATGCGCTACAAGATAGGAAATATTCTTAGGAAGCTATAGATTAAACATTGGAGAATGTCAAGCATATGATGAGTGAAAATTAATTTTTAAATCGTTTTCCTTTATTGACTTCACACTTTTTCCAAGATAGACTTGAAGGATAAGTTGTAACTGATATTTCTGTTTGTAAGTGTGACTATTGAAAAGATTTCACTCTACGCTAGCTATTTCATTTATTAAGTTATGGATTATTTTTCTCACCTAATTAAACAAGTCAATGCATTTATGCAGGTAGGTTCTTTCTCATTATAAGCTAATGTGCTTGTCCACCGAGATTTTTAGATTCGGATTTGGGAGGCTACAATTACTTAAAACATGGCAGAAACTTTAAGACATGAAATATTTGCCATCATAGTTGATGTTACTCATATTCACATTTAATTTTTTTTGTTGAAATATTCCAAACAAGGAAATAGTGATCAAGCTAAATATTTGATATATCAGAAGAATTGTTATTGTTCGAACGCTACTTTGTTGCGTTGAGCTTCACATTGATGAGATTTTTTTTTAATTTTGTTCTTCATGTATAATTATTTACTCAAAACTTCTGCTTTAGTTGTATCGATTTTATTTTACAAACTGTTTACTCCATGATCGAGCATACACGTGCAACACACGTGTCGAGAAACTAGGTACTATATTAAAAGTGGGAACCTCAAACTTAAAAGTTAATTACTAAAATGCCTTTCTTAATTACCTAATTAAATACCCTATTTCATTTAATAAAACCATAAAAGACACCTAAAATTTCTAACGTTGCCTTACAGTATTTGATGAAACGGTGGCAGCTTTTACACCCTTCTTAATTAGTTAAGAACCAACAACAACAACAGACCCAGTCTTATCCCACACCGTGGGGTCTGGGGAGGTTAGTGTGTACGCAGACCTTACCCCTAACTTGTGAGGATAGAGAGGCTATTTCCAATAGACCCTCGGCTCAGGAAAGCATAAGCACCACATTAATGAAAATATAGACAAGAAGGGACAGTACCAAAAAGCCATATAAAAGCAGAATGAAAATAACAAGGTAATCCACAATGAAAGAAAATAACTGTTAGTCATAAAAACCTACTGCCCACAGAAAGCGAGACTGTGTGCCAATACTACTGTTATGAACACTCTAGACTACCTACTCTACTACTCTAATCCTCGACCTCCATACCTTCCTATCAAGGGTCATGTCCTCGGTCAGCTGAAGCTGTGCCATGTCTTGCCTAATCACCTCTCCCCGCCTTTTCTTTGGCCTATCTTTACCTCTCCGTAGGCCCTCCAATGTCAACCTCTCACACCTCCTCACCGGGGCGCTTGTGCTACTCCTCCTCACATGACCAAACCACCTAAGCCGCACTTCCCGCATCTTGTCCTCAATAGGAGCCACACCCACCTTGTCGCGAATAACCTCATTTCTGATCCTATCTAATCTGGTGTGTCCGCATATCCATCTCAACATCCTCATCCCTGTTACCTTCATCTTTTGGACATGAGCGATCTTGACTGGCCAACTCTCAGCCCCATACAACAACGTTGGTCTGACTACCACTTTGTAGAACTTACCCTTAAGTTTCAGTGGCACCTTCTTGTCACATAAAACACCAGAAGCGAGTCTCCATTTCATCCATCCCGCCCCAATACGATGTGTGACATCTTCATCAATCTCCCCATCCCCTGAATAATAAACCCAAGGTACTTAAAACTCCCTCTCCTAGGAATGACCTGCGAGTCCAGCCTCACCTCCCCTTCCCCCTTGAGTCTCGCCACTGAACTTACACTCCAAGTATTCTGTCTTGGTCCTGCTCAACTTAAAACCTTTAGATTCCAAGGTCTGCCTCCATACCTCTAATTGCACGTTCACACCGTCTCGCGTCTCGTCAATCAATACAGTATCATCTGCAATAATTAGTTAAGAACCCAATTAAAAAAACATTGTAAGAAGAATGCCTATAATTTCTAACGTTGCTCTGGTTGAGAGAAGTTACTGAAACGATGGCAGCTTTTGGTATTGAGAAAGCGTCTCTACTTGGGAACCCAGTGAACTGAAACCTGCCTTAATTAATTTACACACGAATAAAGCTTCCTTCTTTATGTTTTCAAGTAGTACATTTACATCAGATAAGTTCATTTATATTCATCCGAAAGAACAATGAAAGGTATGACCAGCGCTCACAAACCAGGTGATTAACCAATCGTCTTGCCTGAACAAGAAATAGGAAATTGCCGACAAACATATATATTTTTTTGATAAGGTAAATTGTTTTAATCAAAAGGGAGAGAACTCCCGTGTACACAAAGTATACCAAAGACGTAGAGAATTTACAT